ATATATATATATGAGAAATCAATTAAAAAAATAAATATTGATAAATTATAAATGAATTAAAGATAAAGAAGGTGAGTGGAAGGAAGAGGAAGAGGATGACGATGATGATGATGAGAGTGGCGGGGTTGAGGTTGGGGAATGTCGAACAGTGTTCTCCTCAGGAGACGCAGTCATGGAAGATGAAGCAATCTCCTCCGATGAGGATGAGAATCAGAATCAGAATGACGCTAACGAAACAAGGGGAGCGATTTCTGAGGAAGATAGGCACCTCCTCTGCCACCACCCAAAACCTCATTCAAAGATTCGTATTATCCTCACCCAAATCCGTGGTCCTCACCACTCTCTCCCACCTCCTCTCTCCCTCCACCTCCTATTCCTATCCACACCTCTCCACCCTCGCCTTCCCCGTAAGTCCCTCTACTTTGTCTTTTCTTTCTCTATTTGGGCCTCATTTAATAACTCCGCACTCCGCACTCCGCAGCTCTACGCCCGAATCACCCAAGCCCCATGGTTCACTTGGACCCCCACCACCGCTGCCCAACTGGCCGCGCTCCTCCACCAACTGGGCCACCACGCCCAGGCCCAATCCCTCATTTCCGAGGCCACATCCAAACTGGAATCTCGGCCGCGCGAACTCGTTCTCTTCTACGGCAAACTCATGGACTCCCACTCGAAGCGAGCCTCCCAAACGGGCTTCGACGTGGCTTATGGTTACCTGAACCACCTCCTCCGCACTTCCTCCTCGCTCCACGTTAAACAAACAGCCTACCAGTACATCGTCAGCGGCTTCTGCGCCATGGATAGGCCTCGTCAGGCCTACGATTTTGCTCTTGGGCCTGGACTTGGGCTTGTACCTTCGGCCTTCGAGTTGAAGTCCGTTGTGTACGCATACGGAAGGTTGGGCCTGTTTGAGGATATGGTTAGAGTGGTGGATGAAATGGCGAAGAGAGGGTTTGTTGTGGACACCGTGTGTTACAACATGGTTCTTTCCAGTTACGGCACTCACGGGGAGCACCTCCAAATGCTTGGCTGGCTTCGGAGGATGAGGGCTGAGGCTGTTCCCTTTTCCATTAGGACCTACAATTCTGTCACCAATTGTTGCCCTAGTATTGTCAGAATGACGGAGAATTTGGAATTGGATGAGTTGGCGTTGGGGGTTGAGGAATTGAAGGAGGGTTTGGAAGGAGGGGAGGGGATGGTGATTGGGGAGTTGTTGGGGTGTAGGGTGATTATGGAGGAGGTGATGGTGTGGGATTCTTCGGAGGTGAAGCTGGATTTGCATGGGTTTCACCTGGGTGGGGCTTATTTGATTGTGTTGCTTTGGTTGGAGGAGATGCGAAGGAGGATGGGGGATGGTAACTACGGTGTTCCTGCGCAACTTACGCTGGTTTGTGGGATGGGAAAGCATAGCAGTGTAAGAGGGGAGTCGCGGGTGAGAGTGTTGGTTCAGAAGATGATGGTCAAAATGGGGAGTCCGCTCAAGGTTCATAGGAACAACAATGGCTGCTTCATTGCCAAAGGAAAAGCTGTCAAAAACTGGTTGTGTCAATTCAGGAACACCCTTAACTGAACAACAATACAACATTATGCGTATGCCTATCTGCAATAGGAACAATGCAGAGTAAGGAAGAAATAGCAGGGAAAAGAAAGGTTTGAAATTCATTTGATACAAGTTAAAAAAAATCAAACAGATGTGGATAAAGAGAGGACGCAGATCAGATGTTTGTTGAGTCGAATATTAGGTATGATGGAGGGAGGTGTATAATGTATTCCCCTGATGTTAGGTCAAATATTAGTGGTTTGGTTATCCATCCAACTTGTCTTAAAGGTGTAGTGATAGTAATGTGCATGAATGTTAAGTGTTTTGGTGATTACCTTTGGAAATCCAAGTGCCTTGAACACACTCAAAGCCTCATCCTAGGCAGTGAAAGAGAAGAGAAGATAAATAAAAATTGTGATAGCTGGTGTGAGTTTGTTGTAGGCATGGCAACGGGGCGAGGTGGGGCCAGTTTTACGTTCTCCGCCCCGTTCTCGCAAATTTAAATCGCTCCCGCCCTGCCCCTGCTTCCGATACCTGCCGGGGGTAAAATCTAAGTCTCCATCCTTCTTCTTGTGGGATTCGGGATACCTCGCCCTCGCTCCTATTTTTTTTTCTTTTTTTCTTTTAAATAAATATGAACAATTTTAAAAAAATAAAAGAAAAGTAAAATAATATAAATTTTTACATATAAATATTTTTAATTTTGGTTTATATATATATATATAAATAATTTTTTAATTATATTATTAAGCCGGGCGGGAGTGGGGGCGGAGTGGGTATTAACATCCCCGTCCCCGACCCACTCCCAATTTTATCAATCGAGAAAAACTCGAACCCAAACCCGATAAACACGGGTTTTTCCCATTCAAATTGGGGTGGGTTCAGACAGTTACCTAAGGAGACGGGTTAGATTGCCGTGCCTAATTTGTTGTGTTGTAGGAGTGGATGCTTCCTTGCGCTATGTTCTTCGTCCTTTTGTTGGTTTAGGAACTCATTTACAAAAACAATAGCAATCGCGGGGTTCAAAGGCCGCCACGAACTGTTGCATTCAAAAGTGAAATAAAAATAAATAAATAAAAATGGGCATGATAAAGAGGACTCAGTCACTTATTATGTATCAAGTTTTAACTATATAATGGTTGAATTAAAATTTTATAATACATAAATCAATTTTATAAATTTTAAAATTTTTTAAATTATTGAATACTTATCTCATTAATTTAAATTAATAAATAATTATAAAACTATTTTATGTGTTAGATTTAAATTTATATAAGAATATATCATATATTTTAAATTTTTTTTAAGTATTTATAAATTTAATTTATATATTAATAACTTTTAATTTAATATTTAAATTGCTAAAATTTAATATAAAATTTGAGATATTAAGTAAATAAAACTTACTTTTTGAGTAAAAAACTTTCTTACTGATACATTTATAAATTTACTTGCTTCTTTTACCATTGGCTTGTAAAGAACTTACCTCCAAAAACTTGTTATTGGTATATTTATAAATTTATTTATATAATATAATAATATTAAAATATGTATATATGTTTCTTTTTATGTATTAGTGAAACTGAAACAATTCAAATTTATATGTATTATATTTAAATAAAAAATGGAGTCAGTTAAATATATGTAACACAGTAATTATAATAGATTTTAATGATGGTTTTATTTATAAGAGAATAACAATTATTAAAGGAAAAAGTGTAAAAATAAAAAATAAGGATATTGATAAGTAAAAAAATTACAATTATTAAAGAATAAATATTTTTTAATAAAAATGAAAAAATAGTATTATTTTTATCTAATTATATAGATTATATATATCATGTATCAAATTAATATATATATATATATATAGAGAGAGAGAGAGAGAAATGATCCTTTTATTTCAAGAGTAAGTCTAGGTAGACTTACTCTGTTCAATAACTTATGTTCTACATCAAATTTCAACGATCCAACCGTTCAATTTAAAGTTCTTAATGTATAAATCAAATCTGCAAATTTTTAGAAAATTTGAAAATTATTTAATATTTCATTTCATTAATTCGAATCAATGTATCAAATGATTTTATGATTATCCGTTAATTTGAATTAATGAAATGAAGTATCAAATGATTTTCAAATTTTCTAAAAATTTGCAGATTTGATTTATACATTAAGAACTTTAAATTGAACGGTTGGATCGTTGAAATTTGATGTAGAACATGAGTTATTGAACAGATTAAGTTTAGGTAGACTTACTCCTAGAATAAAAGGATTCATCCTCATATATATCTATATAGATAGATAGATAAGGGGAGACTTATTAATTCTAAGAGTAAGTTTATCTAAACTTATTTCACTTAATAATTCATGTTACATCAAATTTTAAAAATTCAACCGTTTGAATTAAAAATTCTTAATGTATAAATCAAGTCTACAGATTTTTAAAAAACTTGAAAACTATTTGATATTATATTGCATTAATTAAAATCTTATAAAATATTTTTATGAATATCTATTGATTTGAATCAATGAAAAGAATATCAAATAATTTTTAAAAATTTTAAATGTTTACGAACTTGATCTATACATAAATAAAGAATTTTAATTTAATGATTGGATCATTAAAATTTGATATAGAACACGAATTACTGAGTTGAGTAAATTTAAGAGACTCACTCTTGGAAGAAGTGAATCCCTCCCCAATATATATAGTTATACATTCAACTCCAAAAACAATGTTAACACAATGCATTGTCTTTACATTATTTTTGGAGTTATTGAACAAAATAAGTTTAGGTAGACTTATTCTTGGAGTAATATATATATATATATATATATATATATATATATATTGAACTCGAAAAACAATGTTAACACAAAGATCAAGTAAAAATGGAAACAGAAGTGGTTGAAGATATTGTGATTGTGGGAGCTGGAATTGCTGGGCTTACAACATCCGTAGGACTTCACAGGTACCTTTTCACTTGTTTCTCTATCAGTATTATATTAAATGTTGTAGTTTAATTTAGTATTCTGATATTCATGATCGCAGGTTGGGTATCCGAAGTTTGGTGTTAGAATCTTCAGATAATTTGAGGGTTACTGGATTTGCTATGAATACATGGGAAAATGGTTGGAAGGCCTTGGATGCTGTTGGAGTTGGAGATCTGCTTCGTCAGCAACATATCCAGGTGAATGGGTGAGTCCGTTTGCACGGTTTGTTTAATTTTTTTTTTTCCTTTCTAACATACCCATATTTAACGAGCACTTTCTCCATTAACTATTCACTTATTTTTTAAAAATTGAGATAATAAATAAGAATTTTTTAATTTAAATTTCCGTCTATTAAATATTTTAAATTCATGTGCATTAAATTTTTAAATAATTAATTAGACTAAGGCTATGTTAGATTACAAATTTAAAAGTTATAATATCAGTTAGCTGGTCTTGAACATAGTGTCTACATGTTTAGCAAATTTTTTTTTCCATTTTCTTGAGTGTGAATTACAAATAAATTTCAGTTGAATCAAAAGATAGAAGGTTGTTTATCTTTTTTTGAAAATTGGTCTGAAAAGTTAAGTTGAACTCAACTTAGCTCTCTAATTTTAATCCAAACACACTATGAAATGAGGAGTAACTTTCTCATTTGAAATTCTACTTTTACTTTAATTCACAAAAAGATCCATCTGGTTCCGCATGTATAATTTGTGTACAGTCGTGAGTGTCTGTGATGTGTTCTCAGATCTAATAAAAAGAACTGAACAAAAGATGAAAAAAATAAAGTCTAAGCTAATGAGGAAAAGAGTTAAGAGCCTAAACTAAACTACTGAATTTGGAGTGCAGGAATGTGACCACTTCATTGGTTACAGGGGACCAAACATCAGTCACGTCTTTCAATGCAACAGGAAAGCAGTAAGTACACTCTGGATAAAATTCAGCTTACCCCTTGGCTTCTACTACTGTCTCTGAGGGGAATCATGCAATAATGAGTGTGTCTAAATGTTTCAATTTGAGTTCAAAACAAACCTATCTTATTGTCTGTAGAGGTCAAGGTTCTTAAATATCCAAATTCTTGCTATATGATGGTCGTTTTTGTGTGATTAGACACATTGAAGTTCGTTGTGTTAAAAGGAAGTTGATGTTGGAAGCCCTTGCCAATGAGCTTCCAAGTGGCACCATCAGATACAAGTCAAAGGTTGTTGCCATTCAGGAATCTGGCTTCTATAAGATAGCCCATCTTGCTGACGGGACAACCATCAAAACCAAGGTAAACAATGTGACATGACATCATTGAGATGAGAAATAAGCAAACATCTTTCATATATAAAAACTAAGAAGCAAACAACATCTATTATAAGTCCAAGTTAGTGAACATCAATTCGTACATCAATGTTTGCAATTGAAATTGAAAAAGGTATTGATTGGATGTGATGGAGTGAACTCCGTGGTGGCAAAGTGGCTAGGCTTCAAGAAGGCCTCTTTCACTGGGAGGTATGAAATCAGGGGATGTGCAGAGTTCAAGACCAATCACGGGTTTGAGCCCAGGTTCATGCAGTTCCTCGGCAAAGGTTTTCGAGTTGGTGCTGTTCCTTGTGATGAGAGGGCCATCTACTGGTTTTTCACATGGACACCCATCAGCCAAGGTGAATTTTCAAAAATACAAGTTCTTGATTATGGAAACTTTAATTGCCAAAAAAGGCATTCATTCACTATGTTTATAATCTAATGACATTTAGTGCATGTTTGGACCTACCACCAATACGTGCGTATTTTAAGAAAACACGTCAATTAGTGTAAATGACGCAGAAGAAACTTTTTGTCGCTTTCAAACGTGGAGAGAGAAGGTTAACGTGTTTTTATGAGTCATTTTCAAATTAATAGTATGCCATTGTCACATTTACTCGGACACTTGCAGATAAAGAGCTAGAAGAGAATCCTGCCAAACTGAAACAATATGTGGTAAAGAAGCTTGAGAAGATGCCAAGTGATGTAAAGTACTTCATTGAAAAAACTGAAGCAGATGATTTCCTACCAGCTCCATTGAGATATAGACATCCCTGGGAGCTCATGTTGGGGAATATAAGTAAAGGCAACGTGTGTGTTGCAGGAGATGCTTTACATCCCATGACTCCTGACATTGGCCAGAGTGGGTGCTGTGCCTTAGAGGATGGGGTCGTTTTAGCCAGGTGCCTATCTGAGGGTTTCTCCAAAGAACCAGGCACACATATTAAAGAAAAGGATCAATACATAAGGATTGAGGAAAGCTTGAAGAAATATGCAAGGGAGAGAAGATGGAGAAGCATTGATGTCAGTTTTACATCTTATATGGTGGGTTCTATTCAGCAGGCTGAGTCCCAATTGATTAGCTTTTTGAGGGACAAAGTTTTGGCTACATTCTTAGCTAATCTATATTTTAAGAAGTCAGCTTATGATTGTGGAACGCTAAATAGCTCCTAGAGACGCAATTATCTTGTAAAATGACTGCTGGCTTGGGACATATGGATGGGTAACATGACCCAATGGGACCAAGTTGATGCATACTGCTTGACAGACAACGTAATTTATATGTATCGTTCAAACTTCGGTTGCTACTTACAGTCATAGGTAGCCACAAAAAAGATCATGGTAAGCCCTATCTATGATTGAGACATTACTTTTCCGTTTGGTTCTCTTTTCATCTTATGGTCCACTATGAAATTGGTTATACGTGCAACAGACTAACAGTGCCTGTGGGTAGGGCGCGAGTAAGGCAAACAAAAAGGGCGAATAAGGTTTTCTAAATCCCGTTATTTCAGCTTCATTCCGTCGATGCTGATACAAGGGGAAAAAAAAAAACAGCGAAAACGTATAAAATTTAATTTTGATTAGAGGGCTATTTTTCGGATTGAATATTTGTTTAAGGGAGATGATTTAATCTGGAGATTTACGATGAAATCGATGATAATTTAGCATCAGAGTTGAGTTGACAATGGATTCCTATATATTGATTTACGTTTTCTAAAATATAAACACATTTTCTCACAGTAAAAAAATTCTACATTCATGAAAAAAAATGATGATAAATTGATAATACAAACGAGTCCTTAGTCAACTCAAAAGTACAATTGAAGCCGTTAAATTGATATATTTGCATTTGGATACTTTCCCAAGATTAACAATAGGATCTGTTTCCTTTAGAATAAATTGCTCATTAATTGCTCATTAATCGAAGATGTCAATATCAATGATCCAAGTTACTTAAATTGAGCTCGTATATGGCAAGTCAAATCCAAGAAAGAGATTATGTTAAAACTATGTTATGTTTGAGGAATAAAAAAGATAATCTGCGTAAAAAAAGTTCTTATTTTTACACCCCGTCCTTTTCCCGGGCTTAAAGGCTAGTTAATATACTATATACAAAGAAATGCGCCCACGATCACCTTAAAGAATATACAAACAAATACCAGAATGCCTGCACTTTCAAGTTTCAACTCTAAAGCATGTTTCTATGGGATGGATCTCTGTAAAGCAAAGCACGCGTCAAGCTCCATTCAGCCGCTCCTTGCCCAATGCCCAAACCCATGATGAGGTCAAATCTCTGCTTCAAAAAGTTTTGCCTCTTCAAATCCTGTACATTCTATTCTAATGTTAATTTAACTCCAGAACTTTCTCCACCCATCCAAGTCTTCAAAACCAAGGCATCCACCATATATACATCTTTCCAAGATTCTTGTGCGAGACTGCTTCAGCAATTAGTCTACGAGCTTGACCTTCAACAGCAAGAGGCAATGACGGCGCAGCTCCAACACCAACAACCACTCCTTGTAACCTTGCCTCAATATTACTAATTGCTCTCTGATAAAATCCATAAGAAATAATTACAACAATTATTTGTAATTGCTCTAGCATCTTGCAAAAATTATCTGCTTAAAGGAATACAAAATAAGAAACACACAACTCGGACTTTTTTATTCTTTTCAAATTACTTTTATCTAAACTATACTCGATGAAAAATAATTGAACATTCATTTTTCAGACAATGCTAATAAAGATGGAGCCCAAACTTGTTAGTGTTGCGCATACAATATGAAAACAAAAACTGAATACCGAACCTGTGCATGAGGATTCTGAACTTCTACACCACTGGACTTGTGAGATTTTGTCCACTCCACAAGAGGATCGTGGATGAAAGTTTCAAGCACGCTCATGAGAGTTTCCCTGTGCGTCCTCAGTACTGAAAGTGTAATTTCACAGACCCTCAAGAATATACCCTCATATCCAGTGATACCTAAGCCATCTATCATGTTCTGTAGGTTTTGTTGCAGAGTCAATCCAAAAGAACATAGATGTCAGCATTCATACAAATGGGAAAAAAAAAATAATTAGCGATGGCAAGCAAGTGTTTTGACGTGTCACGACGCATAAAAAAAGTACTGTTTTACTAAGTTCTAAGTAGTAATGAATTTTTTTCCCCAAAAATTTAAGTGTACGATCAGCAATAACTTGGAGAAAAAAGACTTGTGCTAATCGTTGCCAATGATATTTGATTATTTGTGCTCATCAGATGAAAAAATAAAATAGTAAGTGCTTGATTTACAAATTATTTTCCAATTATGTGCTTCTCTTACCTGGGTTAGCCTAAAAGGAACAAGCTCGGGCTTTTCCAACTGCAAGCCTTTGTCAAATAAGCAACTGAAATCAACGTGAACACAATCACCACTGGTAGAATCAAAAAGAATGTTTTCACCATGCCGGTCACCCAGCCCTACAATGTGCCCAACCATGGACCAAACTGCAGTCGTGTGAGCATAAGCAACACGAGCCCTGAACCATGCAGCAGGCTCTGAAAATGTTGTCAGGAACCATTTGTGGAAAACAGGAGGAAACATTGGAAGGATTTTGTTCTTTAGCATATCGTCCTCTGGCATTTTACCTTGACACTGATCATAAATTTGTTTAATTTGAGGATTAGTTTTCTGCCTATCAAATTTTCCACGGGTAATATATATATCCTGGAGAATTTGTCGAAGTCCACGAGTGTGGGGCACCCACTCTACCATGCCGCAGTCCTCTGTCAGAGGAATCACAGCAAATGTTCGAATATAGAGCTTCCTTCGACGACTCTCAGGATACTTGGATAGCAATCGGTTGATCATTGCAGTGAACTCCATCATGCGAGCATCTTTGCGGAGGTCATCCTTCGGCTTGCAAAGAAATGGATGCTCAAGACCATCACTGCCTAATAGAATGATCTGAAATCAGAGGCATTTATTAAAAAGTTAGTAGACAGCAGACAATGGACAATAGTGGCATATAGTTGGGTTCATTGGCAAACATGTTTGGTAGACCTATCCAGTATCTTAAACAAATATAATAGTTTGGTCTGGTGGTAGGAATCATCACTGTGTCTGTGATCTTGGTAATGAACTTGTAAATATAATAAAGCCACATTCATTTCAGAGGAAATTCTTGTTTGGCATCGTGATCAATAATTCGAATGCAACCCCTCAAAATTGATCATCTTTTTAAAAGTTGGGTAACTACAATATGCATCTACGACCATTAAGTTACTAACTTAATATTGATGTTACGTAAGTAATACAATAAGCAGTACCAATACCATAGTTTGGTCTTATGAGTCATGATGCCCACTAAATTGAAATTATGTTGAAACCAAAAACATTGATACCACACAATGCATAAAAAATATCGAGGTAGAAAATCACTAACATACTTTCTTAGGACGCTGAAGAGATGAAAGAATTTCTGCCTCATCAGCTATGCCTGTTATGGTAGGAAGATCTGTGGCAGAGAAGATATTAGACATACGTGAATCACCCAGGTTCCCATCATACGTTGGAAGATTAACAGTAAGAGATTGTTGAATTGGCATTATAATTCCCAGGGGCATCATCCTCTTCAGAGAACTAAATTCAGTTGAGAGATTAATTGTCCTTGCTCTTGACTGACCAGCATGGAAGCATAATTTGATCAGATGATCAATAAGGGTAGCAAATTGAACAAATAAACTGTTCTCCTTACTTCCTGGGTTGAAACCTTTACGAGCAGCTTGTATGATTTCAGCTGCTGCTTCCCGCCTTGAAGGAACAGTGGATTTTGAAACTGCAGCCATAATCCATAGGCCCTGTTGTGGATACTGGCGGAGAACAGAGGTAATGATAAGTTTGACTAGTCGAACAATTTCTTCATTCTGGTGGCAAATTCTTGAAACCAATTGTGGTAGCACTGTCAACCAATGGTATGTTGGTAAATCCTTCAGACAGCCCCGCATAATACTCATTACCTACCAAGTAAAAGACAAGAAAGCAAATGGTACAAAACTACAAGTGCAATAGAAGAATTTCCAGGTATTTGAACACAGAAAACAAAAGAGAAGAAAATTTCTCTACTCACCTTCACATGTACATTCTTTAAATCCTTGTTTGATGAACCACTTCGTTGATACATGCTTCCAAAGTCAAACCACAGGGTTAATAATCTTGGAAGTGCCTGAAATAAATTCTTGTGTCCCCTGTGAAGTCCTTTTGCATAGAATAACAGTACATCAGGAACATAGGACCACCAACGCCTCTCACCATTCAAGTTTGATGAGCCAACAGCAACAATTGCTGAAGGGTGTCTGGGACCAAGTTCGAAATTCTCCTCCTGCCGTTTCCTGGCATCACCAAGCACTTCATCACAGTACTTGGCAATATAAAAGTACCCTTTCTCCCATTTGGGTTGCAGTTCCCTCACCCTGGTATAAAGACTTATTACATCTTCCTTCTGTTTCTGCCCAGTGTAATGGGTCCATCTTGAGTACAGAAGAAGGGTCTTTGCAATATCTTTATTCTCATTTGGGGCCTGACTTTCACAAACAATAGGCTGTGGGTTAAGTGGTACAAGGGAAAGGCTAGTAATAGATGACATTGTTGCAGAGCCCAAAACCTCAACAGGCATGTTCAAGAGAGATTGTTGCAACACTGCAATGGCACCATCAGACCGCCGGGTGCTCCAGAGTAGTTTTGCCTGTTCCATGTGGACATTAGGTGCACCAGAGGCCTGAGCTTCTAAAATTGCTCTATTGGCTGTTTCATAATGACCAGCCAGGCGACATAGTTTTGAATATTGAAGCCAGCAATTGCCAACTTGAGCACCAAGACCACTTGCACCAAATACCAGTCTTCTGAAAGCCAAGAGTGGCTCCCTAGCCCAGAGTGATGACTGCGTAAACCTGAGTCGATTGTCCCAATTGTCCACTAATTTAGAGAAAGCTTGGTCATCTAAGTGAAATGATTTCTCTAAGAAAGAGTCATCACCCAGAACAGAATGGAAGTCTTCCAATTCCCGTAGAAAGTGAAGTTTTACAACAAATGGGTAGGCTCGCATGTAAGAATCCATTCCTGCAGCAGCTAGGGGTGCAATTAGTGACTGCTTGGATAAAGCAACTTTCTCTGCTACTGAGAAGTGGTCCCTCTTCATCATTGCCTGGAGAATCTTTGCAACATTCATGTCAAATGAAGCATTACTTTCAGAGCTACTACAAACTAAACTGTCTTCTTCAGCACCACTAAGGTACTCATCCATCAAATCCCACCTGCCAAGCCTCCAGGCTGCCTGCACACCTTGCATGCACCATGCTTTCTTGTACTGAGGAATTCTAGAAATTAAACCATCAACATGAGTGACC